GGAGGCCTCTTTCCTGAGTGACCGCGGGGACGGGACGGAGGCCCCTGCGGCCCCGAGTGACCGCGGGGACGGGACGGAGGCCCCTGCCCCGAGTGGCCGCGGGGACGGGACGGAGGCCCCTGCCCCGAGTGACCACGGGGACGGGACGGAGGCCCCTGCCTGCCCCGAGTGACCGCGGGGACGGGACGGAGGCCCCTGCCCCGAGTGACCGCGGGGACGGGACGGAGGCCCCTGCCCCAAGTGACCGCGGGGACGGGACGGAGGCCTCTTTCCTGAGTGACCGCGGGGACGGAACGGAGGCCCCTGCCCCGAGTGACCGCGGGGACGGGACGGAGGCCCCTGCCCCAAATGACCATGGGGACGGGACAGAGGCCCCTGCCCTGAAGCCCTGAGTGACCGCGGGGACGGGACGGAGGCCCCTGCCTGCCCCCAGTGACCGCGGGGACGGGACAGAGGCCCCTGCCCCGAGTGACCGCGGGGACGGGACGGAGGCCCCTGCCCCGAATGACCGTGGGGACGGGACAGAGGCCCCTGCCCTGAGTGACCGTGGGGACGGGACGGAGGCCTCTTTCCTGGTGACCCCGGGGACCGGCCCTCACCCTGTGGGTCTGCCTCCCTGGACCACAGGTCCTGGCACTCCCGGTCCTGGCTGGCCGGAAGCTCAGAGCTCTGTCCTAGGGACGGGCGGCGTGCTGGTCTCTGCGGGCTGTCAACACCGTGTGTCTCATCTCATCTTTGGTTGTGCATCTGTTCGACGCCAACTAGGGCATTCATGTTTGAGGTGAGTACACTGGGGCCCCAGAACCACACCTGTCTCCAACCTCAGGCCTTCCCCAACCAGCCAGTTCTGTTAAGGGACAGAAAACAGTGAGAGACACAGAGAGGGAGGGGGAGAGGGAGAGGAAGAGGGCCCCAGCTGGAGGGGTCTGCAGAATGCCAGAGGCAGGGCAGAAGCAGGGCTGGGCTTGGTTATGCCTGGGTCTGGGCAGGCAGAGGTCACTGTGAGCTGGCCATCCTGAAAGGCCACCCCAGAGCCTCACCAGCTGTAGAGAGGCAGAACAGATGGGCAGGTGGGAAAGTGGGCACAGGAGGAGGGACAGGACCAGAGGGCGGTGGAGCACCACTTGTGCGAATGCAGAGTCCCAGGCCTAGCAGAGGTGAGGGGCCCCCAGTGGACACCCACTTCTCTCCTCAGCACTGCCCACCCGTCCCAGCGGGCAGCCTCCGTCCTTCAGCGCTGGACCTCAGTGGTGTGTGCAGGAGTGAATCCCCCATGACTGGGGGAGATCTGCCCCACGCCCGAGCCCAGGGCAGTGCCTGGGCAGACGCAGCGGGGACTGTCCCCTGTCCTTCTCCGTGTGTGGCCCTTGCCCTACACTTCTGGGCCTGCTCTTCTGTCTTCGGGTATGCAGGCTGCCCATCTGCTCTCACCGGGCTAGAAATCTTCGGTGTGTTTGCCATCTGCCAATCTAGGCTGGGTCCCCTCCTGTAGAGACAAGTCTCAACACTCTGGAGTTGTCTGGTGAGTGGCCACTTAAGTAGTTTGCTGAATTTTAGGGGGCGATAGCCCCTCTCACAGCTGTGCTCACAGACCAAGGACCAATGCTTAAGACAGCGTGTCCCTCCTGTGTGAGTAGCCCAGAGGAGCCCTGAGCTCCACAGGGCAGCAAGGACAGTGTGGAACAGAACAGAGACAGAGCAAAGATGGGCTCAGCAGGAAGCCCACCGTGGGAGCAGGCCGTGGCCGGCGCTGTGCCCTGCAGGAACATCGTGTGCCTCTCAGTGGCCTGGGGTACTGCTGAGTGTCCGAGGCAGTGAGGTGCACAGCTCCTTCCCTTCCCCGCAGCCCTGCTGCAAGAACACAGGCTTCAGAGGCAAGGCTTAGGTCAGACGCAGGTGTGCACGCACGCATGCACATATACACACTCACAGCTCCCCACATCTGGGCAGCCTGCAGATGCTTCCTGGCCAGAGAACCTGGGCTGGAGCTGGCGCCTGTGGGCTCTGCAGACCTCTGCAGAGCTCCCCTTTGCTCCCCTGGCCCCCAGGGCCCCTAAAGAAGGCCCCGTGCCCCCGACACCATTGGTGCTGTGAATGCGGGCTCAGGAACACACTGCTGTGCCCTGGCACACAGGCCTCATTCGGGGAGACCGCATTTCCTCCCGTGCAAATCGCAAATGCCGAGGTGGAGATCAGGCTGGGTCCGCTCGGGGTCCCTCTGCTTGCACCCAAAGCAGCCTGCTCCACTTGCTCCACTTAATTTATAAAGTGGTGGTTTTGACCTGGGTTACCCAGCACGAGTGCCAAGGTAGAACACACTGTGTCTTGTTTACACAAGTCAGACTATACCTGCCATCACACCCAGAAGCACAAATTGATCAATACCTGATTTGTGCCGACAAACAGTTGCAGCTGTGAATGCATAACTCATTTCAGAAACTCCAGCTGCAAACTCTCACCTGAGGCTGTAACGGAAGGAACGCCCCGTGATTGAGACACAGAGATGGCGCAGCGGACCTCTGCCTCACCCCGGTCTCCAGCTCCAGCAGCTTTTCCGCTTGAGACACCCACTTCAGCCAGACCTGGCACTGCACCCACACTTGACACCCCTGTGCACAGAGAATGCATCTGCCCCCCTAGAAGCCTTTGCCTGTATCCGTGTCCGGCACAGCCCACCGAACTCCGCAGCTCTTTAACCTGTTCTTCGCCTTGCCTATGTCTGTCACTGGATAAAGCACGATGTGTGATCTGAGAGTTCATGTTAGTTGTTAAAGCTGTGGTGTCAGTGGCCCCGGCTAGTAAGTGGACTCAGGGGTGCTCGCCAAATTAAAGCCAATGAGCTGGATGCAAGGGCCAATTTACTGTTGCTTAACCAGTTCTGACTGTGTGGAGACACACAGTGTGTCTGTTTCTGACCTAGCTTGCTCATGACAACCACACCCTGGTACTGCCTTGATTGTCCCAAAGGCTTGGCTGTGAAGGCCAAAGGAAGTCCGGCCGCTTGTGATGTGAGCACCTAACCAGGGATAGGTGCTGGCCACTGCTTCTGGACATGAGCCCGGTGAGCACGTGGCTGGTCAGGGGCTGTGGGGCCTGGGGGGGGGTCTGTGAGTGCAGCTGAGCCTGTGGCTGGCCGGGGGCTGTGGGGCCTGGGGGGGGCTGTGAGTCCAGCTGAGCCTGTGGCTGGCCGGGGGCTGTGGGGCCTGGGGGGGGGCTGTGAGTCCAGCTGAGCCTGTGGCTGGCCATGGGCTGTGGGGCCTGTGGGGGGCAGGGCAGGGGCAGCCAGTTCCTGCCCACGAGGGCTGGTCTTTTCCCCAGTGTGGCTGCCCACAGCTTTCCCCGGTCTCGGGGATGCCGTGTGTCTGTCATCTGTCTGAATGTGTCTCTGTGGGGTCGGCCCAGGCACAGGAATCTGGGAGGATCCTCGGGAAACCCACTCCCCCTGCGGTCAGATGATGGCCACCAGCACCTCCCCCCTGTGGCGTGGCCCACCCCATGACTGGCCGGGGCCCTGCATTTCTTAAGTGTCAGAATGCACCTGGCTGAAATGTGTGATTTTGACCTTCTCAGCGGACAGCTGAGTAGCGTGAAGTCGGGTGTGGCCCTGACGCCGTCACTACCGCCTCCAGCTCTCCTCCATCTCCGAGCTGAATCTGATGATGCGGGACGTCCGAGTAATGAAATCACAAGGAGTTTGTCCTTCTGTGGCTGGCTGTGTCACCCATGTAATCTTCTCCAGGTTCTCTCTGTGGTGGTGTGTGCGAGCTTCCTTTCAAAGCCGTGGAGTAGTCCATCCCCAGACGTGGCACTTCCGTTCTGCCCCTCCCCCGATGGACAGCTTCCACCGTTGGCACTGTTTCCTCCTACTCCTACTCGCGTGACAATAAATTGAGAGGGAAGAATTTTTCTTTTTTCTTTTTTGTCAGTCGTGGGGCCTGAACTCTGGGCCTGGGCGCTGTCCCTCAGCTCTTCAGCTCAAGGCTAACGCTCTACCACTTGAGCCACAGCAACACTTCCGGCTTTTTTCTTTTTTGCTTATGTGGTGCTGAGGAATCGAACCCAGGGCCTCATGCATGCAAGGCAAGCGCTCTACCACTGAGCCACCTTCCTAGCCAAGAATTTTTCATGATGTGAGTTTTTTCCTATTTAATTTACTTCCAACCATCTATCATGATCTGTCCACTCTTAGCTCACACCTTTTCCTGTCTTGTACCCAGCTGCGGGAGGCTGGGCTGCTGGTCTCCCTCTCCCCTCTCCCTCCTCTCCTGTTCCCAGGAGCTCTGTCACAAGACCAGGGTTCACAGGTCATGCCTGGGTTTCATATTTCCAAAATATTATGCCAAGCAGGCATTTTCCTCGGCAGCCCTCCTGCTGCGGCTCTGGGACTGCGTCTCTTGTCCTGTCTCTGACTTTGGCCTGGTGGTGCTGTCCAGCCCTAGGCTCGCAACCTCTGCTTGGCATTGGCCTCTGGGCTGTTAGAGCCATGGCTGCATGTGGGGCCAGGCAGGCTGTGGTGGTAGAAGGCCAGAGGATGCTGTGAACCTGGGCTGGAGGCTAGAGAGTGGAGAGGGAGGAAGGCAGGGGGGAGGGGGCAGGGAAGGGAGAGCAGGGGTGGGAGGGGCGGGGAGGGGGGAGGGCAGGGGCAGGAGGAGGGCTGGGGATGGGGGAAGGGCAGGGGTGGGAGGGGGCAGGGGTGGGCGGGAAGGGGGAGGGCAGGGTCAGGAGGAGGGCTGGGGATGGGGGACAGGTGGGAGGGGTCACACAGGTCACAAGGCTTGTGCCTGGAGCTGGTGGAGGTCACAGGGGCTGGGCCTGGGGGACGGTGGCCTCGGGGCTCAGGGACTGAGATAATGTGCAGTCAGAACTCCAGGGATGCGTGCCACCGTCCATAAGCTGTTCACTGGCCCTCAGGGGACTGATGTGGGCTCCTGCCCAGGATCCTCCGTGTCCAGTGGACAGGGCCCCGTGGCAGGTGGTGCCTTGGGGTGAGGGGACCTAGCAGGGTCCAGGACACCGACCCTGAAGCTGGAGGCCCTGCCCACCCCCCGGCAGTCCCTGACCCAGAGGGCCGGGGAGGGGCCCTGTCCCCCCTGTCGGGCCCTGTCCCCCCATCAGTCCCTGACCCAGAGGACGGGCCCGTGTTAGAACACTGAAGTCCCGGCCTCTTCTGGCCCCTGGGGTTTCAGAGCTGCTGCTGCCCCAGGCAGGTGGCAGTTTCTTGGTGGCCCGTCTTCCTGGCTCTGGCTGTTCTGCCGGGGGGGGGGGCACAGGGTGAGGGAGAGGATGAGGAACACAAGTCATGGGAAGAGTCACACACTGCACACCCTCTGGGGTGGAAGCACACACTGCAAACAAGGTCCAGAGGCCTGGGTGGCCACCAGCCGTCCCCTACAGCCTGGAGGGCCCTCGGCAGAGCAGGGTGAGGGCTCGCGTGCCCAGGGAGGACATCCTACCACCCACCACCCCTGGCCAGAAGCCTTCAGGGCCTGGGTGGCCTGGGTCCCTGGCGGGCACTGGCACTTCACATTCCCATCCCGGGGTGAAAATGCTGGCCTGGGCGGGCAGAGGGCCAGAGGGGAGCGGCCCCTGGCCGGCCCCCAGGGCCTCTGACTCTTGTGAAAACCTGCCTTGTTCACTAGGAATGTTAAATTAGCTAAAGCTAATTAAAATGGATGAAATCCGGACTAATGAAAACTCGTTGAGTTCTTCTCAAAATTCGACACGGACTAAACCGTCTGCCGCGCTGGCTGGCAGAGGTGGGGCCTGGATCTGCTGGGAGAGCGGGACCGCGTCCAGGGCCCTCACCCCCAGAGCGCGGGGAATGCGCGGGCCGGCTGTAGATCCTGCCAGAGGTTCGCAGGCTCCCCACCACCCCCGGCCTCTGGTGGAGGCAGGTGAGGTCTGCCGAGTCCTGCACCCCAACCTCCGCACGGGAGCCACAGCCGCCAGCCCGGGCAGCCCTGCACCCCGACCTCCGCACCCGAGCCGCGGCTGCCAGCCCGGGCAGCCCTGCACCCCGACCTCCACACGGGAGCCACAGCCGCCAGCCCGGGCAGCCCTGCACCCCGACCTCCGCACCCGAGCCGCGGCTGCCAGCCCAGGCAGCCCTACCCCTGGTGCTGTCCAAACTGCCCTTGTCTTTGAGGCTCAGTGCTGGCCACTGCCCACCCAAGTCCAGGTCCTCATAGGTGAGCTCTGAGAGGCTCCTCAGGGGGCTGGGCCTGCAGGTGCACATCCCTGTGGCAGGCAAGGCCACAGGAGAGGACCTGGGGGGCTGGGGGGGTTCTAGTGATAAGGAGACCAGAAGTGGGCGGGCCCAGAGGGACAGATTCCTCGGGTCAGGCCTCCCTCCCTCCTGCCCCCTATCACCCTGTGTCCCCACAGCTCCCATCTCTGCTCCTGCCCCATCTGGTGAGCCAGGTCTGCGCCCTGGACACCCCCCACCCCCACCCCCAAATGTGCCCAGCCTAGAGCAGGGGCCGGGAGAGACAAGGTCAGGAGACCAGGGCTGGGCTGCAGAGGCCCACGCCAGGCTCCTTCACGCGCCACACAAGGCAGGCTGGGGCTCAGCAGCCATGAGGACGCGTCCTTCAACACCCAGCACCCGGCTGGTGCCACACCTGTAGAATGGAGCCCTGTGTGTGCCCTTTAGCTCAGGTGACTCAGTACTGACTCACCTGGAACAGGGAACAGGGATGTGGACGGGCAGCCTACGAGGAGCCAGGGACTCCCCATCCCCTGATCTATGGACCCTGGGTCCTCGCCGTCCTCCGTGCTGCGCTCGCCGGGCCCTCGCCGTCCTCTGATCTATGGACCCTGGGTCCTCGCCGTCGTGCTGTGGTCGCCGGGCCCTCGCCGTCCTCCGTGCTGCGGTCGCCGGGCCCTCGCCGTCCTCCGTGCTGCGGTCGCCGGGCCCT